GGCTTTTGAGCCCGTACAGAAGCACTTCTGTTTTCCTTGGATCCTGCTCTATGAAGGTCACATCTGCCTTTTCATGGTCATAGGATTTCTGTGGGAGGGGGCTGTTGCAGCCCTTCTGAGGGGAACATCCAACTTGTTCCCTGCCCACAGGGCTGGTCCATAAACCTTCAAAACAGGATTATATAATACAGGGGGAATTGTAAGTGCCCTACCATACCTAATTTTTTGTTTGTTTGTTTGTTTTTGTTTGTTTGTCGTCCCCCCCCCCCCCCCCCCAGGATAGCTTTGCCAGGACACTAAGTCATTTTGTATGTTGGATATGAAGAAACCTGCATCTCCTTTACTAAGAAGCAATGTATTTTTGTGTTAAGACTGTAGTGGCTTGACTTCATTCATATGTCCAGAAAGCAGTGATTAAAGAAACAGAAGTGTCTTTAAAGATTATAAATACCAAGGTACTGAAATTGCTGCATAGTGTGAGACGTAGGTGCATAGGTTTGTGTTTTATTGCTTTGATGCACAATATGGCACCACAGTAATTCATTAAACGTGGTGGTGTGGAGCCTTGACAATGAATTCACTTCTTTTCTTTTGCTGGACACACTGAAAGAAAATACTGAAGTCTTCTGAATGATTACCCATGACTAGATCATACAGAATGTGATATTTAAAATTAGTTTCTGATTAATTCTTGCAGTTATTACTGCACTTGTTACAAAACAGAATTAAGCCTTCCATCAAAGCCAGCTTTTTGCATTCCCTTGAATAGTCAGCGGTGCTAATACAGTGTAAACCAACAGGATTTGGCCCTGGCATTCAAGCTCAAGCTACTCTTTCACAACAACCTCCTTCTGTTTCCTCGTTTTCCTTGTGAGCATAAATCTTTCTGGTCATTTCATGCTACTTTCCCAAATGTTGTTACAATATGTTGTTTAAATGGGCCAAGTACAATGCTTCAGTTTCTTTTTGTAGTGCAAGGATTTAGCAGTCAAGTATGGAAACACAGATGCAGCTTTTAAAATACTTGGTAGTGCTTACATAAAGATACAGAAACATCTGAAAAGTGTTTATTTTTTCTAAACATTATTCCAATTAGTTTATGTTTTTTGTTGGGGAAAATAGTATTGATCGTAAAAATGAAATGCTGTTTGGATATTCTTAGGCTTCTGTAACAGAATATTTCTTTCAGGATGAAATGTGGGAATTATGAGCTTGATTTTCCTGCTGCTGAAACCAGTGGCTGAATGCCCAATTGCCTTCAATTGAAGCAGGATTGAGTCTTCTGTTTTGCAGAAGGATATCTTGAACAGTCAATAATCCTTAATCTCTGGTTTAAAGCACTTCCATTTGGTAAAGTTTTAGTTCTGCCTCAAGCCTGGAGCCATTTGGCTGAAATTGTGTTTGATGTATTTTCTGGAAATCTGTTTTCTGAATCTGCTTAGGAGACTGTTTCTGTGTTCTCAAGTAGAAAAGAACATATTTATTGCAGCCCCATTTCTAGATTGTTTCCCTAAAATGTTTGAAAACAAAAGTAGTATATGTGATGAGATGCTGTTTCTATGAAGTGGGCTTCATGTGGAATGTGTTCCTTTAGTGCAATCAGGTGTGTTTGAAACAGATATATAAAATTCTTGGAAAATAATATTTTGAGCATTTGATAATGGCAACATGTATTATTACCTCATAAAAATAGTATGTGTTTCTTAGCTTGGGAGCTGAGCTCTGAGATGTTGTTAAAGGCTTGCTATTTAATTTGGATACTGTGACATGAAAAGTGAACCTAGAACCTTTTTGGAGGTTCACCTGTCTAAAACAATAAATTTGTCATTGACTCTTTTAAAAAATGTGATAAAAGGAAAAAATGTCATGGAATTCCACATATTCATCATCTACTTGGTTTTCGTCTTCAGGGTTTTACTGCAACCAAGAGGAAACACGTCTGTTTTTTGGTAAATAATAGTTTGGAAATCTCATAAGTCAGACAGTTATAAGTAGAAGATTAAGTATCATGGCATTTGCAGAAAAATCATGATATGGGAATACTGTATACATCCAGGAGTGCTTTACAAAAGCTGAAGACCTTTACCTCAAGAAATGCGTATGTTTGGGGCTTGATTTAAGTGCTGATTGTGAAATAGTTTTCCGTTAATTTCAAGTAAAGGTCTTACAATATGTTCCAGGGAAGAATTTAGCTTAGCAAGTTCAGATTGAAATAAGTGATAACCAAAAAACTGTTGAGAAAGTGGTAAATAATTGCAAGGAGTATTATTCCAGGAAATAAAATATGGGCTAAGTCCTGAACTCTTTTCTGGACCTTTGCACAGGTAAAATGCTGTTGAAATGAAGGCTCTCTTCTGTCCCTTCCTTCTAACCTTTCTACTTTGCCTTTCTCTTTCATGGACTGTGCCCAAGTACCAACACAGATATGGGGACTAGGGTGATAGGCTACCTGAAAGTCTACCCACTTTCCAGACTCACAAAGTGTCCTAGGGAGACTAAAAATGTGTGTAGAGGTGAGCTGGCCTGCTTCAAATAGGGAGATCACCCAACCCCCTAAAGACATGGTAGAAAAACTAATTTAAATTTCTGCTCTTCACAGAATTCCTGGAAAAAGATCACTGTAAAGTCATGGAAGTACTTGTATTGTACCTCTGTGCAAAAATGATGGGAACAGGGCTGATTGAATTACCAACAGAAATCTTTTGCACAGCTCTGGTTCTACCAGAGACCTGAGACATGGGGCAGAATGAAAAGAAGTTAAGGAGTTAGTGAGTTCTCTTGTTCCACCATCTACTGTTCTTATAACCAAAGGAAGTATCAACATCTGGGCTTTTCAGTAGATATTCATCTCCCATATAGGTTTTTTTAGGTTTTTTAGGTTTTTTCTTTTTTTTTTTTTTTGTCATTGTGTCATAGCAACAGAAAACCTTTGGCATAAATAGAGATGATAGCATTTCCAGCTGATGTTAAGGCTGAAATTCTTTCTAGTGTTTATGTTAAACCCGGTTAGTACTTAGGCACCTATTTTTGCATCAAATAACTAACTCTCAATTCACGAATGGCCTCTGCTCTGTCTGCCCAAAGACCTCATGCCTTTCAATTCCTTGGTAATACTTGGTGTTTCAAGTCTTGCAAAGTTGACCTACTAGCTTGTGTTTTCAGAGAGAAACCTCTAAGGCTTTTTCAAAGTTGCAGTTTCTTTACAGTGTCTCTGCTGTGGTGTTCTGGGAAGCATGATGAGAATTGACATTTTTGATGTCTGTGATTTTCCCTCTTTGCCTATTAAAGATTTAATATTGTTTACCTGCTTGTTCACTATCTGTCCCATAGGAACATTTATGTCTATCCTATAACAATGTGCTGAAGGCTACTCTGTTCAACAAAATTTAGTATATTGCCAGTTTGGATTAAAAATAGAAGTAATTTCAGAAATGTGTGTGCATGTGTCTCATTTTCGTTGGCAGTACCATGGGAAGCCTGAGGTCCCATCTCATGTTAGAGTTTTGTCTTGCTTGTCATATCTCTCCTGTTAAGTCAAAGTGAACTGAATAGCTTCTCTGAGTTCTCAAAAAATAAAAAGTCGTGGGATTGACAGGGTTTCTTTCAATCAATGGACCTTGAAATGATGAACTTTTCTAAATGGACCTTGAAATGATGAACTTTTCTAAGTAACATTGTTGTTCTTCTATATCCTCCTGTGCATGAGGAGCTCTAATTATGATACAAATGATGAATGTGTCAGACTGCAGTATCTGGCAGTCTTCTGGAAAGGTAGCTGTTTATTTAGACCTGTGAAAGAGGCACCTGTCTTTTGTACTTTGTAACTGGAGCAGAAAGTAAAGCAGAAGATAAAGTTGTTTTGGACACAGAGCTTTCTCTGTACATCACAGCCTTCCACCCTCCTCACTGTAGAGGAAGGCAACTTTTCATGGCAGTGCTGCCTGGCTTTATAGATCTTAGCTGTTCTAAGGCAAGATCAGTGGATAGATACTGTCTGTAACCCAGATAATTTGGCTGTGGCAGCAGTTACCACTTCTCCTTTCGGCGCTATACTGTTTCAAATGCCTGTTCCCTTGATATCTCCAAATGTCTCACTTTCGTCTTCATCCTCATGTTGATGAAAACTGGAGTCCTGATCTTGCCATATGAAATCAATACATGAAATAGATACGTAGTTGTGACTACTGGCCAGTGTCTTATAAGCATCTTGGATGTGCTTTCAGAAGTAATGTAAAGGAGGATGTAGCAATACGCATGTGAAACACATCAGCAGAGTACGTCTTGTGGGTAAAGGGGAGGGGAGGGAAAGGAAAGGGATCATCCTTGGAGAAGCAAATGAACAAGATAATCTGCCTAGTAGACTACTGTAATTTAGTGACTGAGGGCTCTTAATAGGATAAGGGCAGAAAGGAGTACAGGTGTGGGATATTGACAGCAATCTCAAAAGGTTTTGTTTTTGTGGAGTGCGGGTCAGTGAAGCACTTTGCAAAGAATGCAGAAGACTCGGAGCAAGAGAACTGGCTGGTGAGAAGGAGTAGCACAAAAATATAGGAAATGAAGCTGGAAAGTATTTCATTAAAAAAGGGAAGCAGAAGGGATGGCATGCGGAGGGAAACATTTTCAGCTAAGAAAAATGCCCATTACCTTTCACTGTATTTCTGTTTATCCAGCTGTAACATGTTCTAAGCCAGAACTGTATTTTCATCTGTGTTTGGAAGGTCTCTTGCATGATTTTTTATGCTACAGAAAGCAGTAGATACAATACAGTAGGTTATTATTACCTGCCGAATAATGGTCTAGTTTTGAAGTAACACATAATTTTTTTTCTTTTGCCTGCAAAGATTCTTCCACTAAAATCTGGGATTTTTGTACATGTAAAAAGTCTGTGTGAGTTTTTTGTTAAGTTTACTAAATATTCAGCAATGAAAGATTTTTTTGGTTGTTTGTTTATTATTTGGTTATTTAGGCCTTGCTCTAATGATGAGTTGTTTACCTTACAGTTGGTGTTTGCAAACAGGAGATGCTCCAGAGGAAGAATGCTGTTTTGGTGGATGGAGTCATCCTAAATGGTCCAATAATGGACTCAAAAGCAGGAGAGAAGTTTGTGGAAGAGGCCTGTAAGATTATAATGGAAGAAGTTATCCAGAAAGCTGATGATGTAACAGAAAAGGTAAAGCAGTAAAGTGTTGTTGGGAATTTGTAATGGAGATAATGAACAATAAATCAATTTGTTTTTTATAAGCTATATTTTATTGCACTTCAAGTAACCTCAAAATTGCTTCTAGTCTGTGCCTGACTCTGAAATAAAAAGACAGCCTTAGAAATTGAAAAAGAATATATTATAAAACCTTTCAAGAATATAATTAGCACACATATCTGCCAGGAAGTAACAAGGTGGTTTTTTTTATCTCAGAGTACAGTGGTCGTCTTCTGTGAGATCACAAATTGCTGTAGTGTTTTTCTTGTGTGAGGTGGGAGAGTTAATTGTTTGCTCCTCAGGGGCAATGGTGTTGGAGAAGAAGAAACAGTGAAATTGGTACCACTTTGAAAGGACAACATTATGAAAGTGCTCTGGGTTTTGTAGAACCCTGCTTAAGGGGCTGTATGGGAAGAGGACCTGCAGATAAACCATGCTTGCCTTTGGGCATGTACTGGTTGCTCCCACCCTTTGGCAGCACAGCATCTGAAAATGCTGTGATTACAAATCCTTAGCTAAAGGATAGAACTTGAGCTACAGGCCTCTTTCTGTTCTGCCTTCCAGCATTCCTCACTCTCATTTTTTATGGTTGAGCAATGCCCAGGACGCAATAAAACAGCATCCAATGAGACCAGTTTCCCATATATATGTTCTGGTGGCGTGCTGCCCTGCAAAGGGAAGTTTTGTGAAAGCAGTGTTGAATGTCATTCTTACTTTGTACTTTTACAACCTCTTCCTACTGACAAACCTGTTCACTGATGGTGTCTGCCCCCTCCCCATCACTAGGTCTGTGAATGGCAAGCCCCCGAAACTCTTAAGCAGATTCTTGACCTGGAAATGAGAGACACTGGAGAATGTCACCAGAAACTCCTGCAACTCTGCCGAGATGTTATACAATACAGCGTCAAAACCAGTAGGAATGTGATTTCTAATGGGGTTATTTTGTATTCTAACTTTGGAAGACAGGATAATGTTTACAAAGCTCTGTTCACCTTTCAGGGAACCGAGGGTGTGAATGTTTGTTTGCTGCTTGCCTATACAAGTATGCAAACACTTGGTCATGTTTCTGTTGTTTAACTGAATGCCGGTCACCATAGGTTTGACTAAAATATGTAATAATGGCAACCCTATAAAAAAATAATTACTGTGATGCCATTGGCATTAATGGTAGATTTTGTCATTTTAAAGTCTTATGAAAGTCACCTTAGACAAGTATGATATAACAGTCTAACAAAACAGGCAGGAGAAGGGCCTTTGTATGTAATTTCCTGCTGTTTGAGTGATGATATTTGGAGTTGCCATCACTGCCCTCGTATGTTCTTAGTGATGATTACCTGCCATTTATTACTGTTCTTTTTGAGCAATAGTCTTGTAGGATGTTAATTTGCTGATAGGCAGTAATTCCTGATCCAGACCCTATGAGAAGAGAGGCTGCAGTGTTTCAGAGACAGTATGCCACATCTCTGCAGGATCAGTCCTCTACAGAACCTTAGTTCTCTCTCTAACCTTTCTGCAGCATGTGTAGGATAATTCAATCGTAGCAAAAAGGAGTGAACAACATCTGTTTAGGAAACAGTGCTGCGAATCAGTAGCTCAGGATTTCATATGTGGTATGGCTTAAGCTATGTTTTGGAAAGTGAGAAGAACATTTGATACAGTTAGTTGTGCCTTTCCATGTCATAGTCCCTGCTGCAGTCACTGTTGCTACAAAGTAAAACGGTAAAATAATTTTGAGAGTGAACTCTTGCCTTTGAAAGCCATAGAAGAGAAGCACTACTGGTCTGCAGGAGGAATGCACTAATAATATGCAGATATAATTACTGAGATACTGGAAAATGTTCTGTTTATCTCACTTCCCCAAATTGCCTTTGGATTATAATTTGTTGCGTTATGTTACCTTAGAAAGGATGTTGTATATAAAAGTACGTTGTGCAAATAGTCTTTAATATAAGCAGAGACATTTATTGAGGCCCCAGATATAATATAAATGGAGCCATACAGTTTACCTGGTTTTGCATGTAAAACTAGGATGCTGTGGATTAAAATTTAGGTGGTGATCCCACAGTTGAACTGACTTGTCTCTATAGTCAGCAATAATATTTTGTCATAAGTAGTTATATCTCAGTCTTTCAAGGCAGGTAAACAAATTCTCTTAACTTCTCATTTTAAAGGTGCAGTAAATTTTCCCAAGCTGTTGTATTCCTTCTCTCTCCCTGTATAAAAGACTTTAGTGGGAGCACAGGCACAGCTGCCTGGAATCAGCTGGTTCCTATATTGTACTGCTTACTGAAATTTGGCTGAGCATGCATAGTGACCCCTCAAAACCACTGTTTAAAGCAACTATGTACACTCAGTTGTCAATCCCTTTTCTTTTTTTAGTTTTTAAAACTTGGGAATGACTCACATTCATTCTGTGAACCACTTGCATCTCTCAAGACTCGTTTTGAGGTTTGAACGTTCTTATTAAATTTACTTTCAAAGGATTGTCTAACCTAAGAAAAGGACAATGAATCCAGAGAATACTGAGAGAATGGGATAAATTGTGGTTTGCAGTGATTGGCATTCAACTCAGAGGGACTGTGAAGTATTCTCTCTTCTTGTATATCCTGTCACTTGCTTTTCATCTGTATTTTCAGGTCATCCACGATTTTTTAATCAGCTCTACGCTGGAATAGATTATTACTCGTTAGCAGCTCGTTTTATTACAGAAGCACTAAACCCTAGTGTGTAAGTGGTTTTTTTTGTCCTCTTGATGATGAATTACCATGATTTTTGGAACAACATTTTTTTTTGCTTCCTTGCTTCTAACTTCTGTTTTCAGTATTACAGAAGAGTAATTGTGCAAGACTTGGGTAGAGAAAAGCCTGATTCACATTGAATTAATAGCTCACCACAAGGTTGACTAATCTGATGGGGCCTTTTTTCATTGTTTGTGAGGTGGGGTTTCAGAGGAGAGTTTTTCTTTTCCCAATGCTTTTAAACGTAGATTTTTATCTCACTTAGTACATAGAAATGAATTAATCAGACTTAGTTGTTCATATCCTTTGAGACATTCTGCGCAGAGTTGAATGCAAATGGTTACCTGTCTACTGTTTACTTGCAAATGTAAAGCTGAAATTTAAGCGTGTGACCTACATTAAGAGCAATCTCTGATGTATTACTTTGAGAGTGGAAGTGTCAATGTGATGCTGTCAGGAACTAAGCAATTGCTCTACTGGGTCAGATGCATAATGTTTTTACTTTAGAGTTCTGCTGCTGCTGATGGTCAGCTGCTGGTAGATTAAAGAGAGGTGCAAGAAGCCTTTGTCTAGTTTTAGCAATACTCTTTGGCATGAGTTCTGTAGTTTTAATACCAACTGTGATGCTTTTCTTTTTGTTCAGATATACGTACGAAGTATCCCCTGTGTTTCTTTTGGTGGAAGAAGCAGTCATCAAGAAAATGATTGAGTTCATAGGCTGGGAAGAAGGTGATGGTATATTTAATCCAGGTAAGAACAGTTCAGACCTCAAACTGAATCACTGTACACCACCCAATACCATTAATTCTATGAATATTGGAGTAATATAAAGTATTTGAAAATGTATGCACAAGTCTAGTGATACACAAACAGAGCTATTTAATGTAGGCTTATCATATGTGCTTCTAGTAATAATTTGGTGTAATAATTTGGTGATTCTGATCAGTAAATGAATGAAACCAGTTTTACATTAAATATAATTATATGGAAATTAATTGTTCGTAACTGATGTCCTTCTTGACCTTACTAACAACACCAAAAGCCTTGTTGGAATTAGTTAATTTAGTTGATGGACAGGGAGTGGATTTATGTGCTAGACCAACTGTTGGTGCCTAAGGGCATAGATATGTGTATCCTGCCTATGAATTGTGGGAGCACAAGTTTACATGAGCTTAACTCCTTTGAGTTCTTGAAATTGTATTAAATGTAATGGTAAAGCCAAACAGATATTTCTTAAGTTGCTTGATAAGCCATGGTTTTCAAATGTTCTATAAGGCAGTGTTCCAGCCCACTGTATTGAATCAATGAAGCATAGTGGTGATATTTCACAGATTATTCAGATAAAAAATTATTAGGTTATATGTGAAGATTTTCCATCTATTTTGGATGGAAGAAGAGGAATAAAATGAGCAAATGAATTTAAACTCCCCCTCCAAAACCAAAGTCAGTAATTCTAACCTAGACATGAGTAGTTGGAAAATAAATAAACTAAAATCACTTAGACTTTTTAAAATACATTAATGATATGGAATTTTTTCACATCAAATTTGATGTGTATTCTTAGTAGAAACCTTGCTTTTGTAGCAAAATTTGTTGCTTAAAACAGTGGGCTACTGTCAACAGATCAATTAACTGTACTTCTTGGTGCTAATGTTATATAAGCATTTTTTTTAATTTTTTTAACTTTAAGTGAATAAAACCCATCCAGATCTTACCTTGCAGATCTTCTCGTTCCCACTCACCCTATTTGTTGTTTTTTTCTAATGGTTTTCTCCCCATAGTACTCTGAGGCCTGGTTGCCCAAGAGATCTCTGGGCTCTGTATAGTGCAGCCACAGGTGAGCTCTGTGCAGACACCTAAACTCACATTGCTTCAGTATAGATGGGAAGGACTGCTTGAACACAGCTCTTCTCGGGAAATATCCCAAAAAACCATTCAAATATGCTTTGTTTCCATATGTGCTACAGAGCCCAGAGTTCATTTTGTGTCTATGGCCTTGAGGGGAGAAAATGAATTGTGATGGATGCATAATTAGGCTGACTGTATGGTTTGTTTTTTCCCTGATAGGTCAAGTACTTAGGATAGGTGCTAGGACTGTGACTAATGTGATATTTGTATGTCTCTTTCTGTAGGTGGCTCTGTTTCTAATATGTATGCCATGAACTTAGCAAGATACAAATTTTGTCCTGAGATAAAGGAAAAAGGGCTTTCAGGTCTGCCAAGACTAGTCCTGTTCACTTCAGAAGAGGTAAAAACAAAACTGAAAAAAGTTTTTTGAACTTTTTCCACAGCTGCAAAATTGTATCATTTGCATATCTGATGGAGCACTGGTACAATGATTTTTACATCAGTGTATGATGTGAAATATTTGAACTAGGTGGAGAAGTCTGATAGTAAATTTCCCTGCAAAAGCTTCCTTGCTTTCAGAAAACACACACAGATGTTCCTGCTTTGAAAATTGCTGATATAAGAGTAGGTTGTACATGGGGCAAACCTGAAGCAGAAGGCTTGTGGTGTGTTGTGGAGGTCTGCAGCATTTGATTTCCCACAACATAAAGTCTAGCAGGAAGTGTAGGTAAGTTTTGGATGTCAAAGGTTTTTTTCTGCATGTTTAATTTGTACTAAATTGAGCACTTGTGGACCTGTGAGGTGGCTCTCTGCAGCTCCCACTCTACCCTGTGTCTGAATACAGATTGGTTGTGGTACAGAACCAAACCACCATATGCCTCTTAAAAAAAACAACCCTGAACCTTTAGACAGTTCTTTAAATAATTGAAAATATGTGGCTAGTTTTAAAGTTTTTGAATAATATCTGTCCAAAATGCCGGTGGGAAACTGAGTTACATTCATACATTTATTCTGAAGGTAGTTTTTGTGGCTTTTTTCTTTTCCCTGTCCCTTCAGTTTTAAGAGTTTATTGTTTGGTTAGTGCAGAGTTGTTATTAATTCTGACTCCACTATATAAAGGCCCCAGTGGAAGCAAGAACCTTGTTGTATTAGAAAACATCTACTTAATAGAATAATTTTAGCTCAGAAGTTTATACTGCAAACAGTTTGCAGTGTAAATAGACAAGAGGCTTATTTTGGAGAAGCCTGAGGGATGAAGGCATTGCGTAAGTTGTCCAAGACAGCACATGTATTTTGAAACTGAGTCTTAATGTCCTAAATAAAGGTGGTTTGTTTGGGCATTTTCCCCAAGCAATATATATTTAGGTCTGTTTTGGTTTTTTTCTGAAAAGTGTGTATATGAAATGACATGCCAGTTCATGCTTAATCCACAGTGTCACATCTTCAAAATAGTTAAGGAGGTAAAAATGAGGTTGAAGCAAGTTCCATTACTGCTTTTGAAGTGAAGCACGTACATTTTTTATTAAGAAGTAATGTTTTATTTCATTGCAAGGTTTAAATAGAATGTATATTCTTGTACTCAAAATAAGCAAACATTTCATTTCATGTCAGATTTTAATTGGCCCCTAGAGTAAATTTATTTTTATGCCTTTGCTTCAACAGAAGGACCAATACCATAAAATATAGAGCTGATGAGCAAAAATAAATTGGTAAATTATTTGCAAGGCCATGATTTTGATCTGTAATACTTTTCTTGATTCACAAAACTACGAGGTCTTCAGTACTCAATAATTACTTGCTGTAAAACAGATGCTTTCAGTAGTTAGATTTTGTGAGTATTTTCTAAGATCTCTAGTGTTTATTCATGGTTATGAGGAAAGAGGTGGGCATATTCATACATACTTATTTTGGATCCACCTATAATGAGTCTAAGGTACACAACCTTTTGGAAACTTTTCAGATATGTCATATTGAGAATATATGTGATAAATGGTCCACACTGTAGATAAATACTGTAGATAAATAAACTGTTTGTGTCATACAGCATTATGAATTTTTTTTTTTTTTTAATTTAGCATTTTGCGCCTTTGAATCATGGAATCATTTAGGTTTGAAAAGACCTCTAAGATCATCAAGTCCAACCTTTGACTGATTACCCCCATTCTACTAGACCATGGCACTAAACAACACACCCAGTTGTTTCTTGAACACCTCCAGGGTGACTCTACCACCTTCCTGGGCAGACCATTCCAATGATTAACAACCATTTCATTGGAGAAATTCTCCCTGATGTCCAACTTGAACCTCTTCTGGAACAGCTTCAGGCTATGTCCTCTTGTTCTGTCGCTGGCTGCCTGGGAGAAGAGGCAAATCCCCACCTTGCTACAATCTCCTTTCAGGTAGTTGCAGAGAGCAATAGGTCTCTCCTGGGCTTCCTATTTTCCAGTCTGAACAATGCCAACACCCTCAGCCATTCCTTACTCTCCAGAGTCCATGGACTTATTCTCCAGACCCTTTACCAACTTCTTTGCTCTTCCCTGGACATGGTCCAGCACCTCATTGACTTTCTTGTAGTGAGGGGACCAGAACTCAGGATTCAAGGTGTGGCCTCACCAGTGCCGAGTACAGGGGGACAATCACTGCCCTGGTCCTGCCGGCCATGCTATTTCTGACACAAGCCAGGATGCCATTGGCCTTCTTGCCACCTGGGCACACTGGGCACACTGCTGGCTCAGGTTCACCTGCCTGTTGACCAGCACCCCCAGGTCCTTTTCCACTGGGCAGCTTTCCAGTCTTTCTTCCCCAGGCCTATAGCACTGCATACTATTGTTGCGACCCAAATGCAGGACCCTACACTTGGACTTGTTGAACCTCACACCTTTGGCCTTAGCCCTTTGATCCAGCCTGTCCAGATCCCTCTGCAGAGCTTTCCTACCCTCCAGCAGATCAATCTCCCACCTAAATTAATGTCGTCTCTGAACTTACTGAGGATACACTCAATTCCATCATCCAAACATCCTTCGTTTTTGTTGTGTTGTGTGTGTGTTTTTGTTGTTGTTGTTTTGTTTTAAATGAAGAGGTGCCTGGAGAAGCAAATTGTTTAAAAAAAACAAATCATGGAGAAGTTAACAACCTGTGTTTGTCTTAGTCATGAATCAGGCAACAGCACTGGCATGGAGAAGCCTTGAGACTTTAATGAACTGAGTATTGATAAGGAGTCAAAACACATGGCTGTTCAAGGCCCTCTTGTCATTTTAGGGCTTGGCTGCAATGCTATGTTCAAATGAAATGATTTTTGCCTTGAGTTGCCAGGTCCCAGAGTTTCAGTTTGACACTCCATGGACTGAAAGAGTTGCCATGCTGCAGAGCACAGGAAGGCACAGATTTGTCAGTGACTCGGTTTTCCGTGCTATGGGGCTATAATTTTTTTTGTATGCTCTTGGATAACATGAAGATGTATGTTTAATGTACCCAAGGTCCTCATATGCTCTGTTTGGCCTTCAAGGATAAAAAGGCTCCTTGTTCCTGCAAGCAAAGTGCTTAGCTGCTTAAAATGGTGGTGATACACAGTGAATGCTATCTATGCTGCTACTGTGTAGTTCTTTTGCTGGACCATTACAGAGTGATTCTTCTTGAGACAGTAGCTGTAGAAGAGTAATTGTTATATCCCACTCTCTTGTGGCATGATTGTGGCTCTGTAGGAATTGAATACAGTTGTAGTTATAGATATCAGCCCACCTTTTTCCCACTTTTTGCTATTTGAGTCCCATCTGAACTTTATTCTGACACAAATATGTATTGCATTGATATGAAAGGTAGAAATCTGCTAAATTTGAGGTAACTGAGGGTAGAAGAGGATGTGTAAACAACTGAAATGTGCATGCTGATATGAGTAATTTTTTAGATGCAATGAAACTTAATTCCTCCCCAGTGCAACTTGTTCATGAAAGTAATAAAGTGAGAGAACACAACGTTAACTCATCATGTTGTCCCCTGTTGAAATTAAAACAGACAAAAACGAGTAATAAAACAATCTCATAATAATGTAATTGCATTATGCAATCATGTTTCTAGGAAACTTTTCAAAATCAAGAAAATACAAATTTATCTTTTGTTTTAATGAGCACAGGACGGAAAGTATCTTGTCTTTGCAAACATTATTAGGAAACAAAAACTACATCTAGGTATAGGTAAATAGTACAGCAGCACATCTTAAAACTGCTGTTCCAATTTGATCTTGTGATCAAAGGTTTTAATTTCTTCCTGCAAATGGCTATAGATTTAATAACTTTTCCCAACAAACAAAACTACAATAGCCATGGCAAGAGTTACCCAAATTCACCTTTAGTCTGGATATTCCTTTCTCTCTCTTTTTTTTTTTTTTTTTTCCTATGAACAAGTGAATTAGTTGACACCGTTGTGACTGGAGCCACTAAATTGTCTGGTATATTTTTTTTCTTAAAATGATGCACTGCAATTTAGCTTAATGGCTTCTAGTAATGATAGTGGGGGTGGGGGTGGGGAGAAATTCTTACATGTTTTCAATCAGTATAACTGAAAGACTACTTTTTTCATCAAAGAAAACATGATAATATGAGTCTTGTTCCTTTTCTGTCCTACTGAAGGACAAAATTTTCCATGAGGTGCAGGAATACTTTTGGAGAAAAAAAATAATGTATCTTGCAACCTGTTTTATTTAGGTGTACCCTTTGTACTTCTCTTTTCCTCTGCTTTTTGGTATAATCTCTCAGGTGCTCAAGTGCTTTGTCTTTCTCCCAGTCTCCCACACCATTTTTTATAATAAAATACAGGATTTAGTGATTGTATGCTTACTAGTATACTGAATTTGCAGATCTACTGCTTTCTCAGTTTGGAGCAATCTGATTATTCTTGGTGATTCATCCTTTCATTTGAATGTAATGGATAGAAATCAGCGATGGAGATAACTTGTATTTTAAGTGATTCACTAATCAGTCAAAAATATCTCCAAACTTCTACTAAATAACACACAACCACTTACAGTCATTATTACCATTATTGATGTAATTTGATGTAATGTAAGACTAATTATCCAGCTATGTATGTTATTATTCTTGTAACAGTCTAAATGAATGAGTCTTAAAAGCTTTCTGGATGTGTCATGTTACAAAATTAAGCTTTCTTAAAACTACTTTCTAGTATCAGGTGCTTTTATTTAAAAGGTGGGTGATGGTGGGGGAAATGTTTTTGTCGAAAAGAAAGACAGCCCTTTGAGATCATCCATCTCATCAAAATAAGCATGACAGGCTTTATTACTCTTAATATATTCATGCCCCCACATTAAAATGTTGCACATTTTTCATAATTATGTTCTGCGGTAACTGCATTTGTGTGAACTCTCTTGAAGAAAATGGAATTAATTAACCACCTGGCTTCACCTCCTGTATGAGAAGTAACAATTCTAGACATCTTCACGGTTGCTGCAGTACACATTATTTTAACTCTTCAGTAATAATGTGTAAAAGGGCCAACTTTATTTTTTCTGAGAAGGGCAGTGACAATCCAAGGGTTGAATGATCTCCGTTCTGAGAAGAACTGTCTAGTCCTATGGGAGGCTGTGCACTCTTAAAACTGACCCCACTGCTATGAGTGGGTAGGCATTTGGTGTGCTGCAGGTTCCTCAGAGTGGTTTTGACATCTAAATATCTTCAGGTTAAGAAGGTTATTGTATCTTAAATTCCCAGGCTAATTATGAAGATGAATTAAGCAGAGATCAATGTACTCTTATTCTGGCATGAGACAAAATGTTCTTGTGCTGGAATAACAGTACTCACAGTAGAGCAGGTCCTTTGGGGGTGAATGTTGGAAATATGGTAAGATACTTCACGAATGTTTGCTCAACACTAAAAAAAACTTGTAAAAAATATGGAGTGGTCTGTAGGCTTGAGTATCCTTCTCACCAAAGTCATTTTACCACATTCTGATCAAATAAACACCCATTTTGAACATCCTCTTTTACACTCACTTCACAGGCTTTGTAGACTGATGCCCTTTATTCAACACTAGGTGAGAAGTGGGCTGCATGAATCTGTACTCATTCAAAAATGTCTCTGTGATGAGACCTAGATAAAATTCTTTGCTAAAATACTAACTTCACTTTCTGAAAAATGCAGACTGGTCTAGACTGGAACTTTTTGCAAAATCCACATTAACTTTTGAAGATGTGCTGAGTTCTGTCTCAAGTCTGCTTGCTTTCATGATGGTTTCACAACACCATGATTTTCAGATCCTTTTGCAGAGATAGGACTTTAAAAGGCTTGCGAGTCCCAGTCATACCACATCTGAAGGCTTTGGTAGGTCTTGGAAAGGCTTTGGGTAACTCCTTGATGGTGTGAGCAAGAGTTGCTGAAATGGGCCAAGGGTCAGTTTATGATAGTATCCTGTCTCTGGCAGTAGCCAGCAACTGAGGATTAGAGAAAGCACCAAAAAAAGTTACAAGAATAAAGGGATAGAAGCTTTAGATGTATCATAACACACATCTTAATTAAGGGTCCAGTTTCCAAGGAGTGGTACTTTTTGACTTTCAGACCTATTCATTGCCTTTAGGCTTTTGAGTTGAATAGCCTTTAGAACTTTCTTCTCATGCCTTTCCTAACTCTTCCAGTCACTGATGCTTTTGACTCAGTTCTAGCAAAACCTTTTGAAACAATTAATAATTCTTCCCTGATGACACTTCAAAATTTCTACTTTTCATTTTAATGCAGAACCAGCTTTAAAAAAACTTTGTATGTAATAGAGCTTCTTAGTTTTTTTAAGCCCACATTTGAAACGTGGCACACGTGGGGGTTTTTTTTGCCTTATTTCCCCCAGTTTTCAGTGTATGTTATTGTTAAATCCAAGATGGACTTTGTGATATGTAGTTCATCAGTTTGATTTTTGTGTTAGAATATGCTGTTTTCATGGCTGTTAGGTGCAGTTGAATTAATTTTAGTGTCACTGTTCCCTATGTGGGAATTCCCTATGAGGAATTTATTTCTTTTGTTTTAATTGCACATGTACTTTTTTCCCCCCCATGCTTTTCACTTACAGTGTCATTACTCCATGAAGAAGGCAGCCTCCTTCCTGGGTATCGGTACAGAGAATGTTTACTTCATCAGAACAGATGAAAGGTAAGAAAGCAAGAGCCATGACTGTGATCTCTGAGCCTGTTTAAAATGCAGTAGTGCTGTACATAACAACCTATTTGAATGTAACTGAAAAAGTTTTAAATCTGTGTCCCTTAGAGGTAAGATGATACCTGAGGAACTGGAGAAACAAGTCCAGCGGGCCAGGAAAGAGGTGAGAGGGGGGAGAGAGAGCATGAAGGAGAGAGGAGTGTATGCAGACTGTGTGCTTGTGTCTGAGTGAAAGGAAGGAAAACTAAGAGCGAGCAAAATCTTAAAAATAGGACAGTTAATGTAACAATGGCTTTCTTACAGGAGGAATTTCTGCCACAAACTTGTATAATAAGTCAAGGCTTATGGGTTCTACACTCTTAGAAGGGAGGAAAATTCCAAAGGGTGTTTACTGCTAATGAAAGTCCTGAGTAAATGCTGCTCTGAAGTGTTTAGCACATTTCTTACAGGATTTCTTTTGCCCTCGATTTTTTTTTTTTTTTAATGGATGCAGTATTTGTTTTCCTAAAAAGGTTTTTCAGATAATAACAGCAGCTATTCCTCTATCCTCTGCAGTAAGCAAGAACTGTAAGGTGTCTTAGTCTCTAAAACCATCATACAAGCTACAAATGGTAAATTCAGTCCTTTCTATTACTGTAGCAAGAGTGCAGAGATGTACCTCTTTTTCCCTAGGGACTTTGTCATGTAGGAAATCAAAGGCCAGCATTTAGAAAGGTACTGATGTGTGTATTTGGACAGTAGCATACATTCCTATAATCTGTAAGACAGTGTTTAACTGTAGTCAACATAATTTATTTTAGAGAGCCTGGAGGACTGAATGTGAATTCCAAGAGCATCTTCTTTTGGCTTGGTTAGCTCACCTTAATTTTCACTCCTACTTTGTGTATCAGAACAGTAGGATTCAGAGCTCAGCCGTGATCTGTGAATACAAAGGAATTAGTGCAATGTCAATGGCATAGATAATACCTTCCACTGAATCCTATCTTGGGAAACCTAATTTTGTGGCTGGTAGAAAAGCCAAGGTAGTGCTGTCCTGTCATGGACTGGCATGGCCACAATAGCTTTCACCAAGACCTGATTTAGATACATCTTCTACCCGACAGTCATCTCAGAGTTTCATGGTAGATAGAATAGCTTTTGATACATGATGGCCCTAGTGACCTAAGAAACTCTCTTGCTTGCCTCTCTGTACTTTGCATGATCTGAGGAAGACAACCTGTACTTTACTCAGATGGGGAAAAAAATGGCTGAAATAAAGTGGAAGCAGGGTGATAGGAGAATGAACTCCTTGCTCTTGCAAATACAGAATTCTTGTTTGTTCATGTAGTATTAAATGTAGTGGTTATTTGAAAGAAATCATCTGGCATTTATGATTTTTTAAAAAAGGTCAATCTCAGTATGGTGCTCTGCAATTGAAAAACAAATGTTCTGTATTGAAATGCTCTGCTTACAGGAAAACACGATTTCACTTGCATTTTAATGGAAGTTACAGTTGTATTGGAAGGTTTTCATTTCATCAGAGCTTCAGTAAGTGTGTTTGTCCTTGATAAAGTGCTACTTTACAACTTTTACAGAAGGACACTTCAGTGAATTGCAGTAAATATTCTAATGACTCTAGACAAGAGAGGATGTATTTGCTAGTGACAAAACCACAAAATGGTTGCTGAATATGAATAGCAAGAGTCTTAGAGCTCTTTTTAGAGATTTAGTCAGGAAGATTTGTTACACTCTATTGTCAATAATAATAAAAATTGAGTTTTCTTCTTCAAGGAAAATGTGCAATGGTAAAAATTATTGGAATTCAAAGAGATCTTAGACTTGTCCCCACATTCAACTTGCTGCTTGAGGACCTCTGACTGATGTAGCTCTGGAAGAAAATTAGTGGGAGCATTAAGAGAAATTAGATGCATCAGATACATCTTTGCCTCATTTGCAAGTGTTTTGTACTTAAGCTTCAGGCTGGCTTGTAAGTTTGATTATTGTGGTAGCTTGTACTAGGAATAAATGACCAAGAATTGAATTATAGGCTGGTAATTCTTTCTTAATGTATGGGATTAATTTAAATTCTTTGCAATGTTACTTTTCACTGCTTTAGCAATTTGTAAAGAAATTTTAAAATACAAATAAGTCGTAATTAAGTACCAATCTAATAGTTTTCTACACTGTAAAGAGGTATAAAACTGTCAGAGTGGAAATGTGAATCAAGCCTGTCTCTGTAGATGTTTGAAAGTGGCAACACTTAAAAAAACCACAAAAAACAAACAAACAAACAACAACAAAAAAAACCCCACCCAAATTTCAGTTGAGGGAAGATACATGAAAGACTTGTGTAGAGTTTGGTTTTTTTTTCTGCTGATGTCTGTTTTCACTAAGCTTCATTGAGTTACATCAGCAGACAGACTTACATCACCTGAAAGATTTAATTCATTGCAAATGAACTTCAGTGATTCCAGACAGCATCTTCAGTGTCTCTTACCAATAACTGTGTTGTCCTGCTGTAGGCCAGAGGCTGAATCCTTCAGCAGGGATTTGCCAGCAAGTGGGACCACGCGTCATTACTAGGGCTGATACCCTCAATTTCAAGGAGTTGTTACAAACTCCACCGGTTCTTTTCATTGCTTCAGTTTCTGCTCCTAAGTAGGCACAGCCACACAGATCTGCAAGGGTATGTGACCTAGCCTGCTATTGTAATCACACCCCTGCTATTAGCTGGATGGAAAATAATGAGCAAAACCACTGAAACAAAAATGGATGGCTTACAGTGTTTGCCTGAGACTGCAACTTGATAGAAGTTTTCCTTATCCCAGCTGCCTGACCTTAAAACTGTTTGAGATTTCCAGTGATCTCTCTCCTAACGTTCAGTTACCATCTTACAGCCCTTCCTGTTTTCTAGACAGGAGTAGGAGCAAGGGAATAGTGCTGTGCTGTAGGTCAGGCCTGGGATCAGGCAGCGGTGACTGTCCCTGTCATGGGATGTGCCAATGCTGCTGAAGGCAAATCGTGTTGTCTAACTGAAGATTCCTCTTCACCAGGCAGAGAAGAGGGGTTTTGTAGAGACAATGCAGGTGGAAACCCTAGAGGGATGAGCCCTTTCCTTGCATGGGTAGTCTGCTGTCTGAGCTAGTAGCTTTATTTTATCCATCAGAATGACAGCAAATATGGTAGTGAAATGTGAAGACTGAGAAAATGAAAATCAGTGTATAAAGAGAGATGTCAAATATCTGGTGTGTTTTGATTTTGACAAAACTAGCATCTGTCAAAACAGTCTGAAGCTGGTGAAGTCTGCCCTGGGATGGTGTTAACTAGAAATGGAAAATGAATTTTCTTTTTTTTTTTTTTTTTTTAATGGGAAAAACTAAGAAGAGTCAGCACTTTTAAATGCAGTACCTTCTGTTGGGAAACTAAAATATAGACTGTCACATCTTTGTCCTATATTCCTAGACCTTTTTATACTTTATTCTCTGCAAGTATACTGGAGCCAATGAGCAGTGCAAATGATAATTTTTTTTTTGTTTTGAATTCTGTTGCAGGGGTCAGCACCATTTCTTGTCTGTGCTACAGCAGGCACAACAGTGCTGGGAGCATTTGATCCTCTGGATAAAATTGCTGATATCTGTGAAAAGCATGGCCTCTGGCTTCATGTTGATGTGAGTTTGTATACTGCATGGTTTTGTTTAGCACTTCTTTTTCATAATTGCTATTTTGCTTTGACTGTTGATATTTCTTTTTAGAAGTAAGTTGGGCTCTAATAACTTTTCTTTTTAATAGGAACCAGAAGTACATTCTGATTTGTCTCTGCTATATGTGCTGCAAAACAGAAAATAACTTAGTTTTGACAAACAGTCAAAGCTATTTTTTTATTGTCAGGTTATATTTCAAAATTATTTTGTAATCAATTTCTTCTTGCTACCTCCTAAAAATGCTTCAAGGGTGATTATATCCAAGTATAAATTTGAATTATTTCCATGTTTGGTTGGAGAATAGACACATTAGAATTGTGGTGTGCAGTTCATACAGGTTAAAATAAAGATATGTTTCTGGATCAACCAGTCATAAATTATTCTGTTTCATATTTAAGGTTTGAGTTTCCTTACTTTTTTTTTTTTTTAATTTCTTTGTAATTTTAGGTTTGGGTAATAAAATCCATTCATGAATCTTTTTGGAATAATCCTTGAACCTTTTTATCACCTGAAAGAGTGAATAAAGATAAGTCTTCATCTTTTCTAATTGCAATGCCACAAATCCGGAATAGGAGTTGTGGAGCAACAAGAAAATCTGGAGCAATGTTAATGGAGATTTCTTTAGACCTGCTTTAAATTTTTTAAATGTTTGTTTAAAGTTGAGTGTGTTTAAAGTAAAATTGAGTATCTAAAGAAAAATCACATAGGCAGTGATGTGTGTTTCAAATAAATATCTCACGTTGTTAAATAAGGTCACTGTGTGAGTGAGTCAAAAGTGTTTTCTTATTGACTTGGAGGTAAAGATGCAGCATTTAGGCCTAGTATTTAAAATGTCTGCAAAGCCCCCTCACGGCTGTGTGCTGCTGAGAACAACCAGTCAGATTTTCAGCAGAAGCACAGCACTCACACTGCATGCCAGTCTCTCGTGTGTCTATGTACAGCTGATGGAAAGAAGGATGTGTTTAGAATCTGTGTTGAACCTTACACCTAAGGTTGAGTGAACGGATGTGAGTTGAACAGATGTGGCTGGACGCATCTCCAATGGCTGTAGGAGCACAATGAGTAGACTCCCTGTAGCTGAACTGAAATTAGGTGGGGTAAGCCTGGGCCGTGTTCTGAACCGTGGACAGTTGATAGTGTTTGAAAAGAGTTAACTTTCTTCTTCCAATTTTGCCTCATGTTAAACTAAGGTAAAAATGTCTGTGAACATCTTTAAGTCAATTTTCTGTTTGAAAAATGACTGCAGGTGTCAGATGTTAATAGATTCTCAGTAGAAGGACAAATGTCCAGTAATAAATTGGGTTTATGGTCCGGAAGACCTATCATTCTGTTAAGGTCTGATTCATGTTATGAACCTCTCAGTGGTTCTCAGAAGTTCTATCAGTATTTTTCCTACTTTTCACATTCTATGGAGAGTTGAGTGGATGGCTGTTTCTTTATTTTTTATTAAAAGTTTCCAGCTGTATTAATAAGAGAACAGGATATGGGGAAAGACTGAAATCTTCCCACATAAGTGATATCAGTCATACATGTGTTTGGGGTAACATACACATCAATGTGTGCTGTGGTAAAATGAGCAGACTGTAGTTCATAGTGTGATATTTTTTCACTCAGTACCACTAGAAATAGATTTACTAAAATAGTATGCAAACAGGTACAGTGAGACTAAGTCTCTGCCGTTCAGGAAGACTGTACAAGAAACACAGGGCAGAACTGGATTTTTATCTTTGTTTTTAAGCAGGCGTGTCTCCTTATAGGCAAGAATATGATATTTTTGAAAGCTTTGAGAATCTGCAGTCCTCTGGAAGGCTTGGCTTCTTGTTGAATGATTTACACATTTTACAGTCTCAGTTATAAAAAGTGATGCTGCTGATTGGGCCTGCTGTAACTGTGAAGGAAAAAAGGTACAATACAGACAGAACTGAGTCAAGTTCTGTCTAATTAAGGACTTTTCATGTATCATTAATGGGCATCAGGATTGTCTACTGTAAATGCTCTCATAAGCTGTTACTAAGAATAACCTCTATAAATGTCACTGGTGTTATTTCCAGATTTACAATGATTTATCTCATTTCAGAATATTTTCTGATCCCAAAAATTGATGTGTTTGCCTTAAGGAAACTATTTTCTTTAAATATGGAATGATAAAGCTGGTGATTCTTAGGAAGGGCAAAAGGGAGAACATCAACATAAAATCAGTGAGCTTCAGGAAGATAAATTTCAAAAAAGTCAGAAATAGTAGATAAGCTCTCACATGGAGATAAAAGAGAAGAGGTAAAGGGAGTTACGGAAAATATTATTTTAAGAAGATAATACTAGTAAGTCCAAACTGTCCTAGCAGTCAAGCTGTTCAACAGCCTAAGTGCAGAGCTATAACAAGCTTAATTGATTCACATTACAGTATTTATACAAGCATTCGAGTTGCTTATTGTATTCTCATTTACATCTATGATGCCTTTCTTATTAATTTGGTTTTATCAACAATATGCACTCAAGTTCCAGCACTTAGGTATGTCATGTATTGTCTTCACGCAGCTTTAAATACTATATATGAGTATTTCATCCCTGATGGTCCTTACTTTGACTCCTTTTTTTTTTTTTTTTTTTTCCTATTAGAGGCCAGTACAGAAAATCAGGTTTGACTTATTAGCCTGTGCTTGGGTAATTAGTTTAATCACACTGTGAACACTCTGATTTCCATCATTCAGTTGAAAGTGATTTGCCTCATATGAAACACAGTAATTTTCTCATGCCTTGTTATCAATTACATTACGTGAGACACAGGTGATAATATTCATGTTTTGACCTACCCTGCATTGCTCTCAGCTGGATTTATTATCACAAAACGTGCCAGTCCAGTTTGATCCATCTGCCTTCCTTCTGTAGTCTCATAGATGGAGGAGAAGCAGTTAACCTTATCCTGTATTTGCAATATCTAATCAAAAAGCCAGAGAAACATGCCAAGCTGCAGCTCTCGTAGTGAGTGAAAAACTGGTGGGCAAATCATACCCAGAGAACAATTACCAGCGGTTCACAGAAAGGGGAAAAATTTTTTCTAGCAGGATTTTACAAAGGTCTGTCCTAGGTTAGAAGTTATCTGTTATTTTCATTAAATAACTTGGATGAAAAAGAATACACTGACAATTTGAAAATGATATAAAACTGCTGCAAGAGGCAGTGGGAGGACAGGATTAGAAATCAAAGAGATTTTGACTATTTGGAGAAAAAAGTGGAAAAACTAGGCTACAGTTCAATGAAGATAGTATTCTAAGCTGTGATGATCAAGTGCACAAATACAGGCTGGACATTGTTGGCTAGACAGCAGATATTTAGAAAAAGATCTGGGCTTTGCAGTACTCCACAAATCACTGATACTTTCAAATAAAGTTAAATGTCTTTCTGAATTGAATAAAGAAGATATATAAAATGATTCTTTCTGGTATATACTCCATCTGCTTTATCAAGATTGCGTCCAAATAAAAAGCAGCATTTCAAGAAGGTTAAGAACCTACAGGAGAAAGATTAGAAAATGAGAAGGCGATGCAGATAAACAGAACCATATCTGGAAATCATGACCGATGAGGAAAGATGGAAAACACTGATGTTATTTAAACTAGAAAGGACAAAGAGACAATACATAATACAAGTAGTGCTGTGGAGGCAGAAATTGCTGGTGCCTCTCTGCATCTTATTTTTCATGGTCATACTAATTACAAGCTGTGTATTCATTGATTAGTAACCTCTAGAAAAAGACAAACGTTTGACAGAATGAGATGAGTATTTTGATCCTGCCTTTGGGAGTGGCATACTGTTGAGATGACCTCTGGAGTGCCTTTATAATCCTGTTTTTCAGGGACAGTGTGAAAATTTCAACTTTTTAAAACACAGACACCTTTAGATGCAGATTTCATGAAATTTATTATCTTTCAATGGGTTGTTTACGAATTATGAAAGTCAGGGTATAACTTAGTGATTGTTTTGACTTTATTGAATTATAGAATGAAAAGAGTAAAATTTGTCTATGAATAGGAAGTTCAGTTTGATTGTCTTCCCATAACATGGCAAATTTGGACCAGCTGGAGAAACACAGATATAGGTCGTGGTTCTGCACGTAGAATCATTTCCTACCTTAGGTCCCAGCTGTAGATTGAGTGGCAAGGATGTTGTGAGCATGACAATGTAAAAGATGATGTGGTGCATTAATGTACTGCATTAATGAGAATGATGTGTTAAGACAAGTTAATAACCTTTCATTTCTCCTGTGAGCCTTTACCATTCCTGTCTCCCAGACATAGCGGATCTTATTCCTAATGTATGGCCTATGAAGCAAATATTGATGCTAAATTTGTATGTCATCTATCACATCTGTTTTTTTCAAGGAAAAGAAAAAAAATAGAAGCTAAACAAGCATATATTTTCCATGCTTAGGTCAAGAATCTTTACATCAAGGATTTGCCCCCCACCCTTCATTAGCACAAAATGTATGAATCTTTTTTTTATAATAAGCTGAGTCCAGATGTTTTGGGGACTGATGCCTTCTGTGCATCTCTGAAAAGCCTTGCTTACTTCACAGGTAGTTTGCTTAAGTGTATTCCACCTGCATGAGCATTAAAAATCCTCTTATTTATTTATTTATCAGTAATTTCTCAAATGCACTGTATGACATGTCTGCTGTTTGCATGATCTCTCCAACTTTCCCCTGTGGATAAATATTGTTGTTTGAGAACTGAAGATTCACAGTGCCTGATGGGTGAAATATGATCCTTGCAGAATTCATGAGTAAGGATCACATTCCCTGACTCTGGTTGTCCAGAAATTAAAATTGTGTAATTAAAGCTTGTTGTCTGAGTTCCTTCTATAGTCCATGGAGAGGCATACCTGCAAAAGGTGTCACCCAAAGCTGAGTGTCTAGAGTAGATGACACTCAATAAGGAGATGCAGTAGAGAGTTCTTCTCTACAGAGAAGGCCTAAATGACTCTCAGGGTACACAATTAATTGTTAACTGACCTGAGGGAGATGTGGTGAGTCTTAAACCATTTTAAGGTCAGTTGGGTTGCTGGTAACGGAAATGCTGCTGTTGCTCACTCCCTGACTTTGCGTTTCATATCTGTGGAAAATCCAAGCCTGGACTTTGCAGCTAGCAGAGATTTTCATTCTCTGCTGTTTCCTTGTGAATTTCTCAAAAAGGAAATGGCAAGCAAAAAGAAGATACACAAAAATGAGGCTTTCGGCTCTCACTGCTGAGGTTCAGGCTGGGGGAAAGGAAGTAACTCTATTCAGTATCATGGACGAGTCTGGCTATACAAGGACATTTCAGTTAATTGCCTTGCTTACACAGAAGGGCCAGTCTAGTTCATGGCTTATGCAGAGGCACAAACCATCAATACCTCTGTTTTAGGCACAGCCCCAGGCTGTCATCTTTATTTCAGTAGATGATGCTAAAAGCAAAATTAAGCCCACTGACCATGTAGTAAACTAAGTTTTAAATAAGACTTCTTTAGAAATTATTAGTTGAAGTATTCTGAAAAGAACTTTATGCAAATAATATTGTCTTGGCTCTATAAATGTTCCAACAGGCTTCTTGGGGTGGCTCAGCTTTGATATCAAGGAAGCACTGCAGACTTCTGCATGGCATCCACAGGTAAGTCAGTTTAGTTCATGGTCTTACTTACCAGGGATTGAGGTGGTAGTTGTGTGGCCTATTGGCTTCCATACATAGAAATCACTTGGAGAGATTTGTGAACCTATGGTGGGAGTAGGGGGGTGGGAAATCTGATTTGTCTGCTTGGACTGTTTGGACATTTTTGATTCTTTAGTACAAATGATTATAGGTGCAATTTAAAATTTTCACAGGGCTGATTCTGTTGCCTGGAATCCCCATAAAATGTTGTTGGCAGGAATCCAGTGCTGTGCTCTTCTGGTGAAAGACAACTCTGTAAGTCCTCCTGTCCTTTTTTTTTTTTTTTTTTTTTTTTTTTTTTTTTTTTTTTTTTTTTTT